TGCAAAAAAATGTGGGAATGCATAGTTTTTCCTAAATGTTTTGGCCATTACCATTGTTTTCATGGGGGCGTATGCAGGGACTAGGATGCAGTGACGCCCTTGGAGAACAACACACAGCTACAGGGGGACAAGCCTCCCTTCTGTTGACACAGCCTTCTCCAGAGAGCTGCCATGGAGGGGGTGTCTACTCACTGGGCCACACTGCTGTCCTGGCCCTGCTGCCCTAGGACCTCCCTCAGCAGGCATCTCAGTGGCTGCAGCCATCACAGCTCCTCGCAAAACACCTCCATCCGGGGGCCATGTTGCTATGAGGACACTTCCACCATAGTTATGACCTCAGTCTCACTTCCCACCTCCTACTTGATGGGTGAGATCTCCATTGGGTAGAGTTGATGAATTTCACAGTGACATAGCCCCACAGACTCTTTCCCCGCTTGGTCCCCACTGGGTGAGGGAATTCTGCACATCCAACAATCCCTCATAAGAAGGATCTCTGGGTTTACCTGGGTGACAATGTATTATTGGGGAGTGTGCCTCTGGCTATGGCCAAGCTGGAGTTTCCAATCAAATGTCAGTCAAAAAATGTTATTTTTTCTCATTATTTCTCTGACTCCTGCATCTATGTGTTATAGAAAACTTGGGAGTGGGAGAGGAGAGCCATGATTAATTAAAATCTCTAAATTAAAACAAAGTTATTTGCTGACTGCTTGTTTTGAGGTAAGTACAAAATATGTAAGTATCACACATAAGAACTGCATTCTCTGTGTCCAAATCAACCAACACCCAATGGAACAAGCACTCCTCAGAACTCTGGTGAACAACAAGCTAAAAATAAGAGAAGGGTTATGGAATGAGCCAGCAGTTGAAGTTGACATTGTCTCTCCAAATGAGGGTTTTCCCAGGCCTAAAGACCTTTCCCTCTCCAAATAATGGACATATCAAGCCACTGAACACAGGACATACACCCAACTAGTTTCCCCTTCTCTGACACAATAAGCAGCCATCAGGTGAGAATCCAGATCCCCAGAGTGATCAGCACAGAGGAATGATATGCCTGAACATCAGATGTGGACCTTCTGATCTACCCAATGGTTCTGTTTCTCATTAACTATGAATAAACCACTCTCCTGATTGGACATCACTCTGTGTGCTTAGCTAACATAAATCCATTCCTAAGAGAATGAGCCAGGCTTGCTAATACAACCCATCAGGTATCTGAGGCTAGGGGGTTCACCTACTCCCCAGGCCTCTCACTGAGCTGCCAGAAGGCCTCTCGAGGCAAGAAGACAACTGGCCACACATCTTGTTTCAAACTTCAGCAATAAGCCTGAGGAGAAAACATGAATTTGGAGAGTGGTCTCCTGCTCACCCTCTGTAGGTGAAGCTGCCCTACACTGGCTCCCTGGGATGAGGGTAGATGGGTGCGGGGAGAAAGGTTGTCCAAGTTCTTTAACAAAAGAAAGAATCAAATGTCCCATAAGAGTTACAACAGAAGTTTAACTGCCAAGCCAGTTCCTCCTGAACATAATGGGCCTTATGCCACAGCTCTAATGCTGGAGGGACAGGACAGCGCAGCTCCAGGACAAGAAAGATCCAAAAATGCAGTTGGAGGCATAAGCTCCTGGAAAATCTTCTGAACTTACCAAGGAAAAAGAGCACTTGAGTGGTGAAAAATCTACCTCACCACTGGACAACATTGCGGGGTGGGGGAATCTTTCAATGACTCGATGAGGCCACCCAAAGCTCTACTCCATGTATTGCTAATTAAATCATGACTTTCCCAGAGGGACTATATATATCACTCTTGTGAAAGAGGGAGAGGGTGGGAATTTGACATTGATATCTATAAAATTAGAGGTTATCAACAATCTAGTCTAGAAGTCCATTTTAAGTTTTGGGGGTTTTTGTTTTGTTTTTATCCTGGATGCATTTTCCCACAACAATGTAATAATGACGGTGAAGATCACAATATAGCTCTCAGCAATCTATTCAACCCTAAAGGCATTTGACTTCAATTTAAATGACTTTTTACTCTTTTCTCCAACAATGAGTTCATAGTTTCATAAACAATTTGTTGCCAAGAGATTTAAAAAAAGCTTTATATCCTTAAAATAAAAGGCTTATAATGTGGAAAACACATTCTGAATTCCCACCTGGAAATCTGGGAGCTAGTGCCTATCTCTATGTCTACCTCTTTGACATCAGAAGCTAAGGAAATTATAGATCAGAAAGGACTCCCTCTCTCTCCATCCTCTCCCTGCCCCTGCTCCTTCAACTCCCTAGACACCAAACCACCACAGCCTGGCCAGGGCATGCCAAGGCACTGTGGCCTGGCCAGGGCACATGTTCAACAGTTTTTAAGAGCAAAGCCTCAATTTCTTTGAGTAATATGTGACATTGCTTGAAAATTAAGTAAAAGCTTTTAAAGGGACCAAGTACAACTTTTGAAAGAGTGCCTTTTGATGAAGCTGCTTCATGGTAGCCAGGACTGAGCTGGTGCTCACTAACACTCATGGAGTGAGAGAAGTGAAGTGCAGGACTTCAACAGGCAACAATAGGGCATCAGTACAAAACCCTCCACTGAAGGATGACTCACAGATAAGGCAGCCAGTCTTAAATTACATGGTAAGAAACAGAGTACCAAGGCACCGCTGCTATACCAGGTAGCTTAATTACCTCTGCTCGAATCCATTTAAGCACCATCTCAACTTTGTCCTGAAAAGACTCCTTCCTAGCTTTGCTGCAGAACATTTAGGCTGAGTCTTAGGAAAGGGAACTAGGCTGCCATGAGAAACCATTGGGCACACTGTAGGTTCCAGGTACCCATTTGGAGGGAGTCACTCCATAAATACTGCTACTCAGAAATGTATTTTATAGGGTTAAAGCAAAAGCAAGTCTGGTGGTGCTTCTATTTTCCCCAGGCTTAATTTTCTTACTGTACCCAATCAAAGTTCTATACAGACAGAATACAGATTTCTCAAAAGGTAGTGGTGTGGTCCATAGGTGAAAGTCTGGAGCCCCATCTAGATCCACTGAAGGAAGCCCTAAGAATAGGAATTGTCTTCTGCTCTGAGAAAAGGTGTATTTAATATGTTCCCCAGGCAATTCCTCTGCACACTAAACTTTAGTGTCCTCTGCACACTAGCCAAGAACTATGTAAGTTCCCTGGCTAGTGTGGCCCAGTGGATTGAGTGCTGGCCTGCAAATCAAGGGGTCACTGGTTTGATTCCCAGTTGGTGCACATGCCTGGGTTGTGGGCTGGATCCCTGATGGGGGGTATATAAGAGGCAACCACACATTGATGTTTCCCTCCCTCTCTCCTTCCCTTCCCCACTCTAAAAAATAAATAAATTTTTTTTTAAAAAAAAGAACTATATAAGCAAAGAACCAGAGATTTAGAGAAAATGACCCAAGTTCATTTCCCCTCCAGATACACGCGCAAGCCTCACAAGCTCTCCTGGGCCTCTAATAACAAGCTTTTTTTAAATGGAGGAAAAGGACATACTCATCACAGAGTTACTGAATCAAATGAGAATAGACTTGAACTTGCTTGGAAAGGGTAGGGGCTAGACAAATACTATCCATTTGAAACATGTAAATAATAGAATGAATGACTACAAAAGCCAGTTGCTAGGGAAACAAAGATGAGGAGGGAAAAGTTGGAAGACCAACATATACATAACTCCACATAATGAAATTAATTTGGGGCCATAATTGTAATATCTGTATGAAAAGGGTGATGACCCCACAGAAGAAACCATAATTAATCATTAACTCTGCAATGATAACCCCCAGACTTGTAACAGATATAGACCAATCATGAATGAAGTGAGACATGTTACTTTGTAAAAATCATCAATATGTTGAATCTGATCAAACTGAGACAATAAGAAATATAAAAGCATCAAAGAAAATTCAAGTCTTTATGACAATACTATGCAAGCCATATACAGATTCCAATCATGCACCCCTCTATCACAAGAAAAATAACTAGCATGTACTGAGCACCTAGAATATGCCAGATGCCATATTGGAAGCTTTGCATTGTTTTGGCAAATCCCTACAATGACCTCATGACATTGATGTGATATTTATGCTCACAGATGACAAAATAACTCCAAAAAGGCAAGTTACAGTGGGCAAGCTTAAATGCAAATCCAGGTGTGGCTGACTCCCAAGGCCTGTGAGCACAGACTGCCCACCCCTTTGTTAAAATGCCCACACATCCAGGAGTTCATTTCTGTTTAAGAAAATCTTACAATGGTCAGTTGGCTGAAGGCTGCAAGATACTGCAGCCAAAGTTAAATATGCTTTCCACAGGCTGACCTGGGAAACATTTCAATAGATTCATGATAGTCAAACTTCAGCCAGACTGCAGAGAGAGGAAGTACAGATCACCATCAGATTTTGTGAGATCTTTTCAAGTGATTGTTTTTCTATCTACTTGTATTTCTGATTAATAATACTAGTAACAGCTAAAATTTACTCAGTACTTACTCTATGGCTGGCATTACACTGTCTACATGGATTGTGTTATGAGGTAGGCACTGTCAACAAACCCTGTCAACAAACCCTGTTCTACAGATGAAAAAAGGAGGTACAGAGAGACAAAGAAACTTCACCAGAGCTGGAGCTAGAACCTGGTCATCCTAAGCCCAGAGCTTGGATTCTCCACCACTTCTGCATTCTGATGCTTTCACCCCTGGCCTAATGTAACTTACTCATGCTGCAAGGTGTCTCAACACTCTAGACATGAAATCCCTTAAGTATACAAACTGATATGACTGTTGCTACTAATCTAGCAAGTAAGCTTTACAATATTAGTTTAGCTAGAATACACAGCAGGATTTTCCATCTAATTAATTTTCCAGAATCCTGCTTTTCTAATTCATCTGCATATGCACTTGTCACATGTTGAGTGTCTACTATGTGCCAGGCACAGGGGTGATAAAGACGCAAAGAATTGGCCCCTTCCCCACCCGGGCTTGTCTCCCCCTCACCTTCAGCTGTTTGACCTTCTCTTTTCAGCATCTGGACAGCTCCTACATATTTCTTCAGCTGGACTTTGAGCACCTCATTTTCCCTGCAGGTACAAGAATGTTAAAAAATTATTTTTTTTAATTGGCAATTTAGACCAAAGGTGGAGGGAGGGGGGTCTGTGCAAAGAAAAACACACAATGTTCGTCTTATAAATAATAATACATTCTCTGGGAGAGTTCCGGCCAAGATAGAGGCATATGTAGAAACCCTTCACTTCCTCTCACAACCAAAAGGAGGACAACAACCAATCTAAAATCAATAAACAACCAGAAGCACCAGAAAACCAAACTGCATGGAACTCGGATAACCAAGTAATTAAAGAAAAAGTCAAGAGAACAACCAGTGTGCCAAGACAAAGAAATACGGCCCAAATGAAAGAACACAGCAAAACCTCAGACCTAGGCAATGAAGACATTGCCAACCTAACTGATGGAGAATTTAAAGCCCTGGCATTCAAAATGCTCACAGAGCTGATTGAGCTTGGTTGAAAAATTAAACAACAAATGAAAGATACCCAAAATGAAATAAAGCAAAATATTCAGGGAACCAACAGTGACAAGAAGGAAACCAGGATTCAAAGCAATGATTTGGAACAAAAGGAAGAAATAAACATCCAACTGGATCAGAACAAAGAAACAAGGATCCAAAAAAATGGAGAGAGGCTGAGGAATCTCTGGGACAACATGAAACATTCCAATATCCGAATTATAGGGGTGCCAGAAAGAGAAGAGCAACAGCAAGAAATTGAAAACTTATTTGAACAAATAATGATGGAACACTTCCCCAATCTGGCAAAGGAAATAGACTTCCATGAAGTCCAGGAAACCCAGAGAGTCCAAAAGGAGTTGAACCCAAAGAGGAACACACCAAGGCACATCATCATTATGTTACCCAAGAGTAAATATAAAGAGAGAATCCTAAGAGCAGCAAGAGATAAGGAGACAGATACTTACAAAGGAGTTCCCATAAGGCTGTCAGCTAATTTCTCAAAAGAAACCTCACAGCAAGAAGGGGCTGGAAAGAAGTATTCCAAGTCATGAAAGGCAAGGACCTACACCCAAGATTGCTCTATCCAGCAAAGCTTTCATTTAGAATGAAAGGGCAGATAAAGTGCCTCCCAGATAAGGTCAAGTTAAAAGAGTTCATCATCACCAAGCCCTTACTATATGAAACGTTAAAGGGACTTATCTAAGAAAAAAGAAGATAAAAAATATGAACAGTAAAATGACAACAAACTCATAACTATCAACAAATGAACCTAAAAGAAAAGAAAAACAATGAAAACAAAAACTAAGCAAACAGCCAGAACAGGAACAGAATCAGAGAAATGGACATCACACAGAGGGAGTTCAGTGGGGAGCGGGGAGGGAGGAATGCGGGGGGGAGGTACAGGGAAGAAGAGGCATAATTAATAGGCATAAAATAGACAGGGAAAGACAAAAAATGGTATAGGAAACAGATGTCTCAAAGAACTTATATGTACAACCCATGGACATGAACTAAGGGAGGGGAATACTGGAAGGTTGGGGGGCAGGGTGAAGGGGGGATAAAGGAAGAAAATTGGGAAAACTGTAAGACTGAAACCGTGTAAGACTGAACCGTGAAACATGGCACTCAGGCTGCAACAAGACCCCACACCACTGAATTTGCTCCCTAGGTGCACTGGTGAAGGAAAAGAACATGAAGATCGAGGGAAGAAAACTACCATTTGTTGAGTACCTACAATATAGCTCAGACTTTACATATGTGACCTCAATGAATCAAGCATGCATTCATTCATTTATTCATTCTTCATTCAGTAGAAAAATGTTTAGTGAGTGCCTCTGATGTGCCAGGCCCAATGACACTATAGTAGTCTCCCTGTTGTGTAGGAGAGCAATGGGGCATGGGTTAGGTCTCCAACCACAGTACAGGTGAGACACGCTGCCAAGACCCAAACGCAGGTCTCTTGGCCTCCAAGGCTCAGAAGAGCGTTTCTCTGTCTCCTCTAGGATTTGGACTGGATTTGTCACCAGATACCCCAGAGAAAAGTGTCTCTTCCACATTACTGCTTCTGCTCCTCCCCACAACATGCTTAGGCCTGAGTGCCTGTGAACCTCCTAGAATATTTACACACAATGAAAAGGGCTTTAAGATTGGGTATATTTTATTTTTATAAAAATAAATTTAAAAGTAAGAATGCTCACTTCAAAATGCTCAATTAGAACACATTTAGGAAGGAATGTAAAAATCAGTTGAAAACCCAGCACTTTGAAATAAACCCAACATTTTTATAACTATTCTTTCATACCCCTCACTAGGCACACACACATTCCTAAATGTAATTTTTTGTAGGTGACACATCTTTCACACTCCTTTAATTTTTGTTTGAAGTGTTTTTTCCTTTGTTTACCATCTACTTCCCCCTTCCCCCTGGTAATCAGTGGTAAAAACCTGGTATACTCATGCTATGCCTTCCACCATGCTCACATAGCCACTACAAACCCAATATGCTCAAGCAGATTTACTTTATAAAACCATTCATATTATAAATTTTTCTGCAACTGGGTTTGTCTCATTGAACAACTCACTACCAGAAACTTCTAACTTGGTCTATTTTTGGATGAAATGCCATTCCTTGATATGGATACACCACAATTTCCTCAGTGGAAAAACCTGAGACTGCCCACCACTGGCTCTGTCGCCTGTTTTCAATGCACTGGACTACATCTCAGCCCACAAAGACAACACTTTGCTAGTATTTTGCTTTTGTGAACTGTATTTTGGCAGAAAAATTATCTTCATCAACTTCAACTGCAGACACCACCAAACACTTAGGCATCGCCTGAGAACTCTACATTCATCTCAGAAACTTTAGAGAGAGTAAAGCACAGAGGAGTCCCTTAATTATCTCCCTCCTACTAGACAGCCTGTCATGGATATTTCTATAAGTATCTGCATTTTGTCTGTGATATGAATAGCAGACATCTGAAGTTAAACAACTAACAAGTCCTGAAAAGGTTTGTAGGAGAAAACACATTCTGCAACATACAGGGATATACAGCTTGTTTTCCTGGGTTCCCTCAGCCAGAGTCTTTTCACTTGTCCCAGCCTAGTCTAAACTCCACATGTGAATTCAAGTCACATATGATGTGGAAACTAGGGAAAAAAGGAAATTTATATGCACTTCTACGTGCCATAATTTTAACAATGGTTTATGGCAGAACATCCCCCAAGAGGCAGACTAGGCAAGTTCATTCTGGCCGGCTGACAGCTGAGTCACGTCAACATTTGGCTGCTCTGTCTCACTGGCTCACACCACACATGCCGACCCTCGTCTTCCTGATTTATCTTCGACTCTACAGCCAGCAATGAAACGTTTCAAGTGGCTGCTTTTCTTCTGGCTTGGATCAATCTTTTAATAGTGTCTTAAGACTCTCTCCAAATATCAGACCTAACATATGAAAGCTAAGATTTTTTATACAAAGGCTTCTCAAAATGATAAGAAGCCACGAAGAATGTATCAAACCATTGTCCTGGCTGGTGTACCTCAGTGAATTGGGCATGGGCCTGCAAACCAAAGGGTCACTGGATCGACTTCCAGTCAGGGTATATGCCTGGGTTGCAGGCCAGGTCCCCAGTTGGGGGGCACACAAGAGGCCACCACATATTGATGTTTCTCTCCCTTTTTTTCTCATTCTCTTCCCCTCTCTCTAAAAATAAATAAATAAAATCTTTTTTTTTTTTCGTTTATTTAATAAAAAAAGAAGAATATATCAAACCACTGGGTCGGACACCTTTGGGAGTGATAAATTCATTCCAGCCAACTTTATACCAGTGAAATTGTTTTCATTTTGTGGGTAATGAACACATTCAGGTCACTGGGACTGCTTCTGAATAAAACTCAAACACCTAGCCACTCCAAAGAGGCAAATAGCTCCTGACCACCCCCATTCCTGACAGAATGAAGCCCATTTTTTTCATGTTGAAGTAACTGTAGATTCACATGAAGCTGCAAAGATAATGCAAAGAGGTTGGTCACATATACCCTTGGCCCAGTCTCCCCAGTGATTACATCTTACATAGCCACTGTGCAATAGCGAGACCAGGGCCCTGACAGGCTCACTGCGTGTGTGGGTGGTTCCATCGAACCCATTATTTTAGCTTTGGTTCACGACAGTCCTCTGCCACAGCATGTCTCTTAAGATGGAACACAGACTTAAATGACCACAACAGGCCAGGTCAGTGAGTACAATAAGTACAAAAGGGAATGGGGGTGGGGAGCTTTGGCAAATTACATATTTTTTACCCATTGAAAGGTATTTTTAAAAACTTATAATGTTAGTGACCCAAAAAAATAATTCCTAGGCTCCAGACAACTAATCTGCAAACAGCTTACAGGACTTTAATTTATAAACAGAAGAATCATATAAATGCATTATTCTTATTACACACATCTCTGTTACGATCATCAAATAAAAATGCCTTTTTACTTGACACTTCATGAGACAATGGGATGATTCAATTAATTAAGCACATCCTAACTGGGAAAGGCCTCAGAATTGCAATAATCGCTAAGGCCCATCCCAGCAGGGCCCTTCAACCCAGCATAAGTCACTCTCCAGGAGCCTGTCAATCTAAACAGGTAAGAGGCAAGGTGAGCAGCGAAGACCAAACCGGACCAGGGCTCTGGTGCATAAGCACCCACCTCAGTCCCAGGCAGTCTGTCTTCAGAGTCTGAGCTCTTATTCTCTTCACTCTATACCCCACCATACACATGTGTGTTTGTTTACATGCACATGCACATGTATGAGACAACGAGATTGACAGCCCAGAAGGCTATATACACAGGGCTTTTATTTTTAACTTCGTTGGTAGATGATGAAGCTGCTATGAGGCCAGCTGTCCCTTTGTCTTCTCCTCTCCTCTGCCCCGTCTACACTGGTGGCATGTGACTAAGTGAGCCTCTGAGGATGGACCTCCAAACAGAGGCACAGAGGGTTGGCACCATCCTAGAGCAACTTTCCTTCTCCATGTCATAGGATTTTACTCCACTCTGGCTCT